GGGGGTGTTGGCAGGCACTTACCTGCTTTGCACTCTGTAGTTCAGGCAGCAGAGCACGTGTCTTGCACAAATCAACCAGCACATTTAACCAGCAGACATGCAGAGTTGCAAACAGTGCAAAGCAGGCACAAGACTAAAGAAACAGAGAATTAAAAAAAAAAAAAAAAAGTATGATTACCTTTGAGCTTCGAACTTTGGATTTAGTAATTTAAGTTCATAACTTCATATATAACTTAAAAGTTCGAGCTTTGCAGTTCAATTCAGAATCTCAGAATCTTCAGACTGGCAGCACTGTCAGTGCTCTCTCTCTCTCTCTCTCTCTCTCCMCCCCCCCCCAACGTGCAGGAGCGACGGGCGCCACGTCGAAACGACCGCTTTGAAATTGCTCGGGCCTGTGCGAAACCCGCCACCTCAAAAACCTGCAGTGTCTTGTGTCTGGACCTCTAGGCCATGTCCGGTGGGGTGAAAGGACACTTAAAAATCACCCCGCTATTTTTCGAGGGGCAGCTAGGACCCGACAAACGTCCTGGGCCGCCCCTTTTTTTTTTTTTGATTTTTGCCCCAGGGACCTCCATCCAGACATGGGGACCGGACACCGGACACCAGACACCGGACACCGGACTGTCTGGAACCCGGTCCGGACGTCCGGGCGGTTACCATGGGAAGTAGTCCTCTTTTTTATTTTTTATTTTTTTATTTTATCTGTTGATTAGGGCCGGAGGAAAGTACTGTTGGGTTGGTTACCTACCTACGTTTTCCCTCCCACCCACCCCTTGCATGCATCCCGGTTCGGTACAGTGCCACGTCAGCAGTGCCACGTCAGCAAGCCAGGTCACAGTGCCAGGTCACAGTGCCAGGTCACAGTGCCAGGTCACAGTGCCAGGTCACAGTGCCACGTCAGCAGTGCCACGTCACAGTGCCAGATCAGCAGTGCCACGTCAGCAGTGTCGGGTCACAGTGCCAAGTCAGACTCAGTGCCACGTCAGCAGTGATGTCAGACACAGTGCCACATAAGCAGTACCACATCAGCAGTGCCACGTCAGACACAGTGCCACGTAAGCAGTGCCACATCAGCAGTGCCACGTCAGACACAGTGCCACGTCAGACAGTGCCACGTCAGACAAAGTGCCACGTCAGCAACATGACGGGCCTGCCAGGCCAACTGGCCATTGAGCCCATTGCCGACTACAAAAAGCGCGTCCATGCTCAGCTCGCGGCAATCGAGGCTGAGGAACAACGCCAGCTGGCAGTCAAGGCTGTCCAGCTACAGGCTGATGAAGCGGCAACAGCAGAGAAGCTGCGGCTACAGGCCGAAGCAGACGCAGATGCCCAGGCTCGCCGCAAGGAAGCCCAGGATCTGCTGCAGTGGCATGAAGCCAACAGCATCAAGAAACTCAAGTACTGGCACTTTGAACCGAACGGCGACGAGCCAACACCGGAAGAGCATCATAGGGAGTTCATGGCCAAGCTCGTGAGCAGGTTGGTTTACACATGTAACCACCTACAGTCCGAGCTGGCAAACCTACAGCAGGCCGTGCGGAATCAGAAGACTCAGCACGAGGATGCCACACGGGCACTGGACGTCCGTGTACTGGACCTGGAACAGGCTGTACCAGGACCAGATGCCGGAGCTTCCAGCAGTGCATCCTCTAGCCGCCAACTGGAGGAACGCGTTGACCACGTAGTGGCAATGCTAGGAGACATAAGTGTCTTCACAGAGCCGGCCACCATCAGCCAGCGGTTCGAGTTGCTGTACACTAAGATCAGTCAGCAACAGCACACTGACCACAGCCACAACAACAGCTCGGCAAGGCCATACAAGATGCCGACGTTCCGGATCGAGAAATTTGATGACTACACACATCAAGACCCGGTCGTCTGGTGGCAAGGATTTACAACGGAGTTGGGGATTCACGAAGTCCCTGACCATTTGTTCATCAGTGCTCTGTTCATCAACGCCAAGGGAGGTTGTCAGATCTGGCTCAGCCACATGGCAACCATCCACGGCGTCCAGGTTTCAGACCTGTACAAGAAGGTCTCCTGGGAAGATATGACAAAGGAATGGAAGAAGCGGTTCATCGTTGACGACGCCCCGGCACTCGCCGTCAACCGCATCTTCACGATGGCTCAAGGGAGCACACCGACACGTGACTGGCTCACGGATTGGCAAAAAATCGTGGCAACGCCCGATTTGGACTTGTCATTTCCGCATCTGCGGCGTGAGTTCTACAACAGGTCATGCGCCGCTCTCAGCCTCGCACTTGGTGATCGCGAGCAGTACAGCACTTTCGCAGAGATCATCAACAAGGCGAGAGAGCTCATCAAGACTAACAGGCCGGCTGCACACGAGAAGTCCACGTGGCAGCCAACCTATGTGGAGAAGGTACGAACTGGTCCGCGACAGCAGCAGTTCGCTGCAGTCCAGTCGGACAGTGGAGATAACCCAGCAGCCACTCCAGCATCAAGTGACGGAGATCAAGTGGCTGCTGTCCAGCCGCGAAGCAACAAGTCCCGCAACAATGGGAAGGCGAAATCCGCATCGCAGGCAGGAAATGGACAACCAGGACAATTTCCATGGGTCAAGTTTGGCTTGACCGAGGCGGAGTACAAGGTCCGCGACCGCTACGACAGCTGCTATTGGTGCAACAGCACCAAGCACAAGACCACCCTGTGCCAAGATCAGGGGAAGGAGGATGTGTGACCCCGCCTCAGCTCGGGAAACTGAGCTCCGCGGAAGGTGAGGCGACTCCACCTTCTACTCCGCCAGATTCGGCCGCCTTGCTAGCGGCCTCCTGCACATCTGGGGAGGATGCGAATGTCGCAAGTCCTCGGTATACTTACGGGGATTATGCTGTCCACTTCGTTCCACCGCTGGACCAACCGCTCCACGTGCAACAGTCCACCGCATGCACGGTTTCATAACCATCGGCAACCGATTCGGCAGCTTCGCCGCAATTTATCGTCGGGGATTCAACGTCATGGTCAAGACTTGAACAGCTAGACCCATTGACGTTCACGGACTTCCAGTGGATGCCCGTTCCCTCGACCGGACGATTGCCGAAACCGCATTGCAACGTGCTTATGGCACAATTGCGGGACTACTTGCACACTGCAGTACCAGCTCCGTTGATGGACGTCGGAGCAGAGGTTGTCGACCTTCTCGCGTACATCGCGAAGATCGACCGTGAGTTCAAGATGCAACGATACGACGACATCGACGCACCATTGCTATACGTACGCATTCAAATCGGAGAGGCGACTTGCTGTGCCTTGATCGATTGCGGAGCATCTCACAACTACATCAGTCAGGACTTCATGGTACGCGCCGGCCTTGGCCCACGTGTCCGGAGGAAGTCCCAGCCTACGCAACAGACGGTCATACGCACAAGTCCATCGGTCGGTGCATTGACGCCGTCCCAGTGTACTTTGCCCCTCACGCAAGTGAGGCGGTGTCCTTTGACATTCTGGACACCAAATTCGACATGATCTTGGGCATGTCATGGCTGCGAAGCAAGGATCACCCGGTGAACTTCTTCAACCGCACCGTTCACGTTCGTGACCGGAACGGAGTATTAGTTTCATGCACGGTGCCTCTTCCTCATCCTTCGATCAGCTGCCACGTGGTATCCGCCGCAAGCATGCGAGCTTCCATCATCAGAGACGACATCGGGGAGATGGGGGTGTGTTTTCCTACAGCGACGTGTTCGAAGGCCCGCATGGAGTAGTACCGGATCGACCCATCCGCCACGAGATCATCCTCGAGGACGGGGCCGTACCTCCGCGCGGTTGCATCTACCGAATGAGCGAGGAAGAGTTAAGTGTGCTTCGGGCACAACTCGACGACCTTCTGGAGAAAGGCTGGATTCGGCCTAGCTCATCGCCATACGGTGCTCCTGTTCTCTTCGTCCGGAAGAAGAACAAGGACCTGCGGTTGTGCATCGATTATCGCAAGCTCAACGCGCAGACGATCAGGAACGTCGACCCTCTCCCACGCATCGACAACCTTTTCGAGCAATTGGGCGGCGCCCAGTTTTTCTCTAGGATGGATCTCAAGTCAGGGTACCACCAACTCGAGATTCGCAAGGAGGATCGCTACAAGACCGCGTTCAAGACACGGTATGGGCATTTCGAATGGCTGGTCATGCCATTTGGCCTTACGAATGCCCCAACCACTTTCCAAGCAGCTATGACGACGGAGTTCCGACACATGCTGGATCGTTTCGTACTTATCTACCTCGACGACATTCAGGTTTACAGTCGGAGTCTGGACGAGCATGTGGAACACCTACGCACCGTTTTGGAGCGGCTACGACAGGCCAAGTACAAAGCAAACCGCGACAAGTGCGAGTTCGCACAGCAGGAGCTGGAGTACTTGGGACACTATGTGATGCCGCAAGGCATCCGTCCGCGTGCGGACAAGATCGAGGCCCTACGAGTATGGCCCGAGCCCACCAACACCACGGACGTTCGTTCATTCATGGGGTTGGCGAGCTACTATCAGCGATTCATCACCGGATACTCCAGGATTGCTGCACCTATGACGAGGTTACAGTCGCCAAAGGTGCCATTCGTATTCGATGACGACGCACGCCGGTCATTCCAAGCACTTAAGGCGGTTATGCTCATGGCACCCGTCCTTAGCATCTTTGACCCCACCCTGCCGACGCGACTGACTACGGACACTTCCGGCTATGGCATTGGGGCAGTCTTGGAACAGCACGACGGTGATGACTGGCACCCTGTGGAGTATTTCAGCCACAAAGTGCCTCCCATCAACTCGCTTGATGATGCACGGAAGGAGCTGCTCGCATTCATGATGGCTCTCAAGCGCTGGCGGCACTTCCTCCTTGGGCGTCGTAGGTTCACATGGGTCACAGACAACAATCCATTGACCTACTACAAGACGCAGGACACGGTGAGCAGCACGATCGGACGATGGATGTACTTCATCGACGAATTTGACTTCACACCGAAACATGTCCCCGACCTCTCCAATCGCGCAGCAGATGCAATCTCGGGAAGACCTGATCTTTGCGCTATGTCACATCATGCCTTCGCATTCGACGAGGAGCTTCAGTGACACTTCATCCGGGCATATCAGTCTGATCCGGACTTCGGCAYGCTCTATGCGCAACTATCTTCGGATCACCCGCCGGCCAGCCATTACCGCATTGCCGACGGGTACTTGCTCCTCCACTCGAGAGGCAAGGACTTACTATGTGTCCCACGCGACCGTCGTCTTCGGACTCGCCTCCTCGGCGAGTACCATGATTCACGACTCGCCGGGCATTTCGGAGTCAACCGCACTATTGCACGGCTTCGACAGCGATTCCGATGGCCCGACCTCATTACCGATGTCACTTGGTATTGCGACTCTTGCGAAGTTCGCCGACGCAGCAAGCCCCGCAACCGCAATCCCTACGGCTGGTTACACCCGATGCCTATCCCACGGGAACCCGGTCTCTCCATTGCCATGGACGTCACCGGTCCGTTTCCTCGCGACCGGCTCGGGCACGACGGCATCCTCACAGTTGTGGACCGATTGAGTAAGTACGGGCGTTTTCTTCCTTGCAAGTACTACTCTACGGCTCCCGAGCTGGCACGCCTCATGCACACTGGTTGGATTTGTGGCCACGGTGTACCAGAAGACATTGTCAGCGACCGAAACACTCGTTTCATGTCGGCGTTTTGGACTGCTCTCATGCAGGAGTCCGGCACAACAATGAAACCAAGTTCGGCTCGACATCCTCAGACAGACGGGCAGACGGAGCGGGCACATCTAACCGCTCAAATGATGCTTCGTACGCTCATCCGTCCGGACCAGAAAGATTGGGTTGACCGCCTCCCCGACATCGAGTTCGCCTACAACACTTCGGTGCATCCGGCGATCGGCGTGACTCCATTCGAGTTTCACCACGGTGGACGAAAAGGCCGGATCTTCGCAGACCTTCTCCTCCCTCGACCAGCCAACATTGATGCTGCCTGCTCTCCCGCTTCCGTCCGGAAGTACAGGGAATTGCTAACTCAAGCCCGCGCAAATATGCAAAAGGCTCAAGTCCGCATGCAGCAGCAAGCCAACAGGYGTCRCGTACCATGTYCCATCCRSGCCGRTGATCTGGTTTGGGTCTCCMCGGAAGAGTTTGCACTGGAACAGGATGTTTCACGCAAACTGCTTCCCAAGTGGTTTGGACCTTGGTCTGTGACAGCAGCCGCGGGCGATGAGCCCGATGGCCCTTCATTTGTGATCAACATTCTAGAGCATCTGACGGTCCATCCGGTCTTCCACGCCTCGAAGCTGGCAACATACACGCCAACCAAGAGCGACGACTTTCCGGAACGACGATCGCAAGACCCTCCTTCTATGGATGGTCATGAGAAAGTTGACCGCGTCATCTCCGATCGCAAGTACGGCAGCAAGCCGCGGCAATACAAAGTCACATTCAAAGCATGCGATTGCGACGACACTCGGTGGATTTCAGGCGCAGATTTGAAAGCATCCGCACCGCTGATCTACGCGCATTATGAAAAGCGGAAGTTAGCTCAGGAAGCTTCACGACCAGCCCCTCCCACCCGGACTGTGGTCCCTCCCTCAGACAGACAGCTTCGCCCTCGCAGGTAAGCTCGGTTCTTCAAGGAGGGGGGGGTGTGGCATACTGCGTAGCCACACGGGCCCTGCAGGGCCCGTCCCGGACATTCAGCCTAAAAGCCGAAAACTTAGGGCTTACAGGCCCCGTTCGTTTCAGCCCGAATGCTGAAAAACGAGGGCCTGCAGGCCCTACCCCGTTTCAGCCTTTTTCTGGGTCTTTTCAGACCCAGAGTTTTCGGCCTGAAACGGAGGGCCATTTTCAGGCCCTCATTGTTTCGACCTGCCCCTAAGACTAAGGCACGTAAACAGGGATGCGGAACAGGCCAGAAATAGCCTGTTCCTCACGAGTTTGAGCAGGAGCTGCAGCAGCAGCCCCTGCCTCCCTTCGGCAGGCTCAGGAGGCACACCTGCAAGTGTCAGTAGGCAGTGGTAGTCTTCAGGATTCGGCCGCAGCACTCAGGAGGAGCGCTGCAGTAGTCTTCAGCGCTAGTAGTAGTAGCGCTAGCTGTAGTCTTCGGCACTGGGCGCAATAGCTGTAGCTGTAGTCTTCAGCGCTGGGCGCTGGTAGGTGGTAGATCGTGGAGTGGGAGAGAGACTGGCGGAGGCCAGTGTTACTTACCTGTGGCGCCATCGCTCCAGCTCCATCTTCGTGGTACCTGCATCAAGGCGCCAACTTCACAGGTTAGTACTGGACACAGAGAGAGAGAGAGTTCTTCTTCTTCCTCTTCTAAGTCCACCTTCTCTTCTCACCCTCTCGCCACCTGACTTCTCAGACTAAGACATAGAGAGACAGAGTTGTGACTTGAGACTTGACGACATTTGATCCAGACTTGACATTTGGGATTCAGACAGTTCTATGAGGGACTATTTGGGCTTGTGCCGAAGACTTGGTGTTGACGACATTCCCATCTTCCCCCTCCTCTTCGTCTATCCCCTTCCTCTTCGTCTGTGTATGGTACGGGCTGGCGCTGTCTTCCTGTGTGAAGCGCCAAGCCCATTCACACCATGTAACGATGATGATGATGTATGTTCAGGGCTGCATTACAACATTGATTGTTCGGATCACTGGTATCTAAGTCTTCCGTTGTGCTATCTTATACTTTGTATTGAAAGGTCGGTTCTTGTTCTGGTCTGCACGTTACAGTATGCAACACAAAACCTTGACCTTTCAAATTCTAGATCAGACTGACAAATGTTTCTACATAGACCAAACAATTTTCATCCCGGGAAGATGCATCCTTAACAACGTTCTGACCCTCAACAAAGCAGCGAAGAAAGTCTGAGAGAAAACGATCAACAGAGGTATCCTTTTTTTACGACTTTGAAAAGGCCTATGATCAGGTAAAGTGGGCTTTCCTCGATCATAGCATGGAAAAGATGGGAGTGGGTCCAAACTTTAGGAAATGGGTGCGTATCTTATACAACGACGCTATGGGCTGTGTTCAAATCAACGGCCTGATATCAGATTGCTATCCAATACCACGTTCAGTCCGCCAAGGTGATCCGCTCGCACCACCAACCTTTCTCTTTGTAGTGGAGGATATAGCATCTTTCCTCCGCAAAGACCCTTCCATCCATAGGCTACCAGAGGTAAATGTAGCCGCACCCCACCACCTTCAGTTCCCCACAGTAATAATATCCGCAGATGATCTAACTGTTCTCATCTGAGCCTTGGATCCATCTGTCAGTGAACTGGTACGAACTTTAGAGGCCTTCAGACTAGCGTCAAAAATGAAAATCAACTGAAAGAAAACAATTGGATGGTGGTTTTCTGAAGAGGAAGTCCCCCAACACCATGGCCGGAGGCGGCTATGACATGGGAGAAACCAGAAACTCTCTACAAGATACCTGGGCATCTCAATGACGAAAGATGGCTTCACCACCCAAACGGCCCAAAACATGCTTGCTAATCAAATCAACAAAATGGGTAGGTGTGAGAATACTTTTACGTCCTTGTTGAGCCAGGTACTGACTACTGAAATACATCACTTTTCTCAAAGAACTGGTACCTGGCTTCAATCTGGACAGTGCCGGATCACACAATGAAGGACCTCAACCGCAAAGCAAGAGTGTACTCGTGGTCTGGTGAACCCAACAAGGAGAACTGTATACCAAAGATAGCCTGACACTACATCATAAGGAAACCAGCCAGAGGAGAACTTGGCATCATTGATCCCAAACAAGAAACAGAAGCTACATCATAAGGAAACCAGCCAGAGGAGAAACTTGGCATCATTGATCCCAAATAAGAAACAAAAGCCCTACATGTAAAATGGATCGTTGAACTCCTCACCAGACCGGGCCTCGCAAGGAACAAACTGGGCCTGGACAGTATCAGGAGGCTAGCCCCAACAACCACACCAATGAACATGTCCATTTTTTTTTGAGTGATGAATAAGGACTGGAGTCCAAACACAGGCCGCAGAAACCAACGAAGCCAGCCCCCATATACCCTACTGGGCAGCACTGCTATGGATATGGTGGGAAATCATGCCAAAAAAGGTGGGTAGACCAAAGTCCAAAGAGGAGGTGCTGAGGCAACCCCTATTGGTAATCCTTGGGCGAGAGATGAAAGCGATCACCCACTGCCCCTTAAGCCTAGAGGACAAAGATGGCTATCTTGGATTGGCTGACAGAACAGGGACTCACCTCTCAGTTAAAGGGGTGTCATAAACAAGATGAGAACTTACAATCCATTATCAGATGCATCCCAGAAGGCTGGAAGGAACTGCTGTGCGGAGACCTGGCTTGGAAACGTGGGGAGTGGGCAGTGATGATTCAGGAATTAACTCCCCCAAGGGCCTATCATTTCTCCCACAAACAAAGAGGGGATCAACCACCTTGGTAGTATTCACCTTGTTCCCAATCACCTCATCAACAGAAGGCTTCTCATCCATTTGGAACAAAGAGGTGGAAAGAACAGTCCTAAGTCCTTTCGTTCTCAGGAAAATAAGAAAGCCTCTGTTTTGTAACCAGTGGCCGAAGGACCCGGCCCACGAACCATGGACCTTGACAACACAAGACGGCCGCTGGATCACATGGTTAGAATGAGGCGTGTGGCAAGTCAAACACATCTGGAACCTTCAAAGCAACCGTTGGAAGACATACACAGAGCTCAGAGAAAACCTCAAGGGCTGCCACAACCTAAAATCGCATCTTGATGCCCGCTTGCGAGCAATACCACTGGATTGGCTTGCACTGTTACAAGCCCCACCCCGGTGGACCTCAGAGGAATGGGCCACGTGGCACTCGGAGGCCACACCCACCGTGACATTATCATATGTCAAAGCAACAGGAGCAGCAGGAGACTGGGGCCTGTGGACCATCCACGACATCGAACAGCCAGGACACACAGTTAGCACGGTTGACAAAACATCACGGGCTCGAGTCACGACCAAACCGGGCCTCTACTGAAGATCAGGGTGGTGGAAGACGATGCCTACAGAACGTATGTGGGCTTGGAAAACAAGAGTGGCAAGGACTGGGACCTAAAAATGAACCAACGTCTTGGACTAATCGACCCACTTCGGAGACAGACTTGGAGGGAGCCCGGTAGACACAAACGACATACCGACATAGAGGTGGGAGAAACACACCCGGCGAAGCCTCAGAGGCAGTGTGAATTTTGACTGGCAAATCCCCCTTGCCATCTGAACACCCGGATAAGAAGCATGCAGCGGCTCATCTACTATCATGCCCTCCCAGTCAACAAAATGGTTCAGCAAGAGAAGGTCGACACCAGCTAGGCGGGACTTCGACGACATCTGTGCAATCTGTGATTGCGGGAGCCCTGGAGGATATACCCCACTGCCTGCTGCACTGCCCAGGCGCACAAAGACTATGGGGCATAGTACAAACTAGATGATCCTCGGTTACTAATACACCGCTGCCCGATAACCTCCTCACTCGCCTAACAGGCCAGGCACAACCACAGTTCCGAGAAGCACGGCAAACAACCCTCTTTCGAAGGTTGCGTCCTCTAGCGCTGTGGATTATATGCGAGACAAGATGCAAACAGGCGATAGACGGTCACACTTCTACACAGGAGGCATGGGACCACCTCTCACAACTCCTATTAACAGAGAACCGAGCTGATTGGCACCGAGCGACCAAGAGGATCAAAGACAATCCCACAAAGAAGCAAGTAGTCATAGACAAATTCATCAAGGATCTGCTAGGAATGGTAAGTTGGGCAGCATAGAAGGCACTACTGTTATGTTTCTAGTTGTTTGTTGTCTGAGACCAACACTCGCACAAATAGACTTCCAGGTATGCCCATACATACACAGAAGGAAGGGGAGAGGATAGGAGTATCACACCGCACAGGGAGAGATAAACACAGTGGAAGACATGACCATGCGATATGACAGGGTACACTGAAAGTGCAATTCACTCCACTCAATCCTCACAACCAGTCATAAAGAAAAACCGAGTAGATCACATCCAGGAAACAATGAAACGATGATAGTCCAAACCCAGTATTACACTGTTTATTAAACTCAGAGTCTCGAATTGTCAGGATAACCTCAGTACTACAGTGCGCTGCTCAGAAATGAGCAACGCTTCACTCCCCAACCCTGAGTAACCACTCGTAACACCCCTCAGCCCCTGAAACATCAAGCGCCACCCAGATACAGCCTCCAACGGGAAGCGCCACCCTGAAACAGGCTTCTCAGGCCAAGCGCCACTCAGAGGATGAATATGAAGACCAGTGCCACATTATCTGATGATGACGAAGTGTCGGAAGACTTCCCAGATGGAAGTCTGCAGCAGCGCCACCAAACCCTGACAAGATGAGCTCTGAGGAAGAAGCTGCAGCGCCACAACCCTGGAACCCCACTCCGGAGGAGGGCACCAACTTCTCTCGCCTCCAGCAGACCTCGATAACCCAGACCTCTGACAGCCCCTATGCGCTGGGAGAGTACAGCGCAGGTCCTAGCTATGGCAGACGCTCCGAAGGTCTGGCTATGCCTGTCTCCTTCCACGGTGAGCCGTCACCACTTCCGGTTCATGTGTAGCACAACAGCGATGTACTCGGTACCAACTGCCAAAAGCCCTGAACCGATGTGCCATCCTATCTATAGTCTAAACTAGCCTAGACTCGACCTAAACCGGACTGACTGACCGA